ATTAGTTGTTTTTCCACCCTTAGGGGTGGTATTTTTTTTTGAAATTTAAATGGGACCAATCTGGAAGTATACCCTTTAAAACAAAACAAAAATTGTCCAAATCGGTTAATGAATGACGGAGTTCTGAGGTAACAAACATAAAAAAAAAAAAAAAAAACATACAGTCGAATTGAGAACCTCCTCCTTTTTGAAGTCGGTTGATTAAGGATAATTTGAGAACGATCATAATATATGACTTATTAAATAACTTTTGAGTTTCTTTTATGTTAACTACTTTTTTATACTGTTCCTGGCTTTTTGGAAATAAGACATTTAAAAAAATATGAATTTTTATATTATATCTAATATATTCTATACGAATAGAGAAGCTAGAGTTACTAGAATGTGCGATTTTCTGGAATTTTCAGTTCAATTTAAAAATAAATCGTTTTGCATATTAAGTTTTAACGTTTATATAGATTTCTATTTTTCCGTAGTAAAAAGTATCTTATAAATTGACCCGGATAACCGACTATTTTCATACAAAATTTCATCAAAATCTTTCCAGTGATTTTCTCATGATGCGTTCCCAGACAGAAAGACAGATAAATTCTAAAAACTATATAATAAAATATATACATTTCCGGGATGATAAATAGCCTATAGCCTTCCTCAATAAACGGGCTATCTAATGCGAAAAGAATTTTTAAAATCCGATTAGTAGTTCCTGAGATTAGCGCGTTCAAACAAACAAACTCTGCCTCTTTATAATATTAGTATAGATATAATTATATTATAGTATAGATTCGGATAATGTCATATATTCATATACATATTATATCTAATTTACCAAAGTCACTTGGCATCGACTCCAAAAATATATAATGATGTATCTAATCTGTAAATATAATATTCCATTCAGTTTTTTTTTTGCTATTTTATGACATTTGATTTTTTTAAATGTTTTTATCTTACTAGCTAACCAGCGCCCTTTGTAAGAGTTTTAATGACGTTCAAAAACAATCCAATTATGACAAAATTTGAAACGAGCTTTCATTTTGTATACTAAAATAAAACCGCTACCTATTTTGAACCAAGTAGAACCAGATATCAGATTCATTTTTGGAATACTTCTCTAAAGCATTATATAGGTAGGTACATTCTTAAAAACACCATATTACTTTTATTATCTATAAATAGTTCGGGACTTCCTAGAATATGTTCGGTTAAATACAACTTGTGGTTTCGGCCACGATTCGACCACAACTTTCAATTGGCGCTCAATCGAAATATTAGTTGAAGAAATTTTTCAGAGGTGAGATATTTTCCAGCAGTAAGAAGTATCCTATATATTGACCCTGATAACCAGCTATCATTATACCATATTTCACCAAAATCTGTCCAGTGGTGTTCTCGTGATGCGGTCACAGATAGACAGACAAAAATTCTAAAAACTATAGATTCGGTCTTTGTATCGATAATAATGCCTATTTCAATAAGATTTTCCAAAAAATATTTTATGTACAGATTCGACTCAGAATTTTATTATAGATATGTATAGATTATAATATACTTCATATTTATAGAAAAATATTGAGCTGCAGTGGGTGTTTAATTAACATATACTCATATAGTCTTATAATAATAAAATGTAACTTGTAATAAACTTCCCTCTTAGTCTCAAACATGTTGACTGTGTACGATATTTTTAATAGAAAAAAAAAAATGGAGACGGCACTTTTCATCATGTGACATAACGCTTAGACATGTAATTTACACATGTTCAAATTTTCAATTAGCAATTTTACAAATGAACTCCATCTGAACCTCTCAGTATGGGATCTTTGAACAATTCTTACCTCATCCCATAAACTGTTACCAATGAATAATTAAAGCGCAAATTATTAGAACCATTAAAAATAACTAAGCCTCGAAATCGTCAATATTTGTCGGCAAATACCGCAGTCCATCAAAGGGATACAGAAAAATATTGTTTTTACAATTTAATGGAAATGGCTGGCTCGTTTAAAAGCTGGCTATAAATAATTTAATAAGATGCCCCTTGCGATTCACGTTTTTTATCATTTTTTTTGTTTGAAAATCGTAGGCACTTCTGTCATATTCTGCCGAAATGTATTTGTACTTAAGAGACATAGAAAAGGCGATAATATATTGAATACTGACCATCTACTTAATATGGTAATAATAGTATTTTTTTTATTAATTAACAGATTAACTGTTCGCAAAATGGACACCATAGTCAAACAATCGACATGTTCATATATGACTCATGGGACAGGGAAACGGTTAAGAATGAAGCAAAAACCAAGTTGTTAAATGTGTTTGCTTAATTACGTATACCTACCTAAAGTGAAGAGTTATGATAAAAAATTCATAACTTTTCTATATCCACTGGATGATTTAAAACATGCCTAATCTAATAAATAAATATAAATATATATATATATATATATATATATATATATATATATATATATATATATATATTTATAAAACTCGAATTTCCTACAGACGTCGTAAGCATTTGGGCTAAAAAGAAAATTAAGTACAGGCAAACTTACAGGTTAAAGTGAGAATACCAAATATGTATAACAAAATTACACCAAAAATAAAAGGTACCTTGGTATTAGTTACTTTTATTTTTCGTTGAACTTATTTTTTACGAAGACTTTTCTATATAAGTATTTTGTGAAAACGATATCAATATGACAAGTTAAATATGAGACTCCCTTGACAGCAACAGTAAAAGCATGACTTAAAAATAAGTGTTTTATTAGGGCTTTTGGGAAACTGATATTCAGCTGTAAATGATCTAACTCAATTACGAAGATATAGCTTTCTTTTTTTAATTCTAATAAAATATACATACATATATTTTCAACAGGAAACTGTTTCTTCTTTTGTTTTTGTTTAAATTATAAGTGTTATGTCACTCACACACACAACTAATTTTTTAACAATTTATATAATACGAAACGAGAGAGCACGTGTGTAACACGCGTTTAAAAAACATTACTCCCCTTCTGGGGTAATAAATAATAAATAAATAAAAATGTTGGGACATTAACACACAGCACCATCTAGTTCCATGGTAAGCTACGAGGGTTGTGTTATGGATACCAGATAGTTGATACACCCATGTATTAACTTTAAATTCATAAATTTTATAAATATAAACACACATGACTGAAATACAAGCATTCGTGCTCATCACACAAAATTGAATGCTTCCAGCGTGAATCGAACCCGCAAACACTGGCACAGCAAGCAGAGTCACTACTCACTACAAACTAGGCCAAACGTGTCGTCAAAACGTCGGCAATGGGGTTAAAATAAAAAATATAGCAGAATAAAAAAAAAAGAAAAACATAGCTGAGCATAGATTGGTTGTAGACTCCTAAAAGGCTTTACATACATAAAACCTATTTGTCTATTCGCTATTGCATCGATTCTCGATTAATTCTGCTACCGAAGTATTGTATATTTCACTCGATACTAAAGTGTATCTGGCTAGAACGAAATATTCTCATATATATTCGGCTTTTTCTCTTTAAATTATCAAAAACCAAAGACGAAAATTCTTCGCTAGGAAAAAGACAATGAATATATAATTAGGTGTCCGATGATGAGATATAATCTCATAAGTTTCGACTTTCGTTGGCTCTCATCATTACACTCGAGAATTCAATTATATTTCAAAATTGTTTCTTAAATAACTTAATTGCAGTTTAAAAGTTGTGGATTAAAGTAAATATTTAGAAGAAAAACAAAATACGCGTTGAGCAAATTATTACATTTTTACTTAAAACTTGATAAATCATTTAGTGCTAACGAGCGTATAAAGTTTTTTTAAACTTGAGGAAAATATTACGAGGTTTATTTCGTGGAAACTGATGAAACGTTTAATTTTTATTTATTTTCTTTGTAAATTATTAAAAGAAAATGATATAAACTTATTTTGTAACTAGCATCGCCCGCGGCTCCGCCCGCGTTCTGATGACCAAAACCAAATTCTTAGGTTTTATATATTAGTATACTCGTATTAGTATATTAGTTGACCCGGATAACGAGCTATTACCATACCAAATTTCATCAGAATCCGTCCAGTAGTTTTTCTGTGATGCGGTAACAGACAGACAGACAGACAGACAGACAGACAGACAGACAAAAATTCTAAAAACTATAGATTCGGCCTCTGTATCGATAATAATGTCTATTCAATAAGATTTTCTAAAAAATATTTAATGTACAGATTTGACTTAGTTAGAATTTTATTATATGTATAGATAAGCCTGCTTGTGCTTTCAAAAATACGATGAAAGTAAAGCGCTACGGTGTCTATGATATAAGAGGTACATATCTCTTTGGCTGCTTTCAATATTATCATTCTCTTTATACACGTAAAGGATTCTGGAGATGATCGATTATAATATATTAACATATTTAGCAGTTATAATCAATACTAATATTATAAATGTGAAAGTGTGTTTGTTTGTTTGTCCTCCTTTCACAGCGAAATGGAGTGACGGATTGGCGTGATTTTTTGTGTGGAGATAGTTCGAAGACTGGAGAGTAACATAGGCTACTTTTTACCGCGGGAGATTATCTAATTCCAACGAGAAAACACGTTATAATAAACCATAAAATATTTATGCTCAGAATAAGGTACTTGAAACTTGATGTTAATGCTCTTCAATAAAATTAAATAAATACGTGTTTTAGCATTTTTCAAAATTCATCCTATAAGGGGGTAAAATAGAGGATGAAAGTTTGTATGTAACTTACGTTTTAGAGATTTTTTTGTAGTTTTAGCGCGAACGAAGCCGCAGGTTCTGCTAGTAATATTATTATTTTTTTCTACATGCTCATACCAAAACAGAACACAAACAAACAAAGCCTACCCAAACAATACAAGGAAATCGAACTGAATGGTCACTACTTCCTCACTCTTTAGAAAATTAAATTCAATAGTAATGTGAGCTTTTTACATTTTCAGAAACATGGTGTACTACTGGATTCTCATTGCCTCATGGTTGGGCTCGGCCAGCCTCCAATACATCAACACTGGTCCTGGATCTGAGACCCTTATGGACCCTTTGGATTCAACCATACACTACTCGCCGCTACCTGACGTCAACTATTTCAACTATCCCGCAAAAAACTATGAACCAAACGACGAACGCAACCATTTCTATGAGCCGGATAATCTCGAAATACAACGCAAGCGACGTACGGCTGAAGAAGTTAACGACGATAGAAACAAGCGTTGGCGATCTTCAGTTGATAGCGACAAATCGCTTTATTTTCAAAACCAAGACACACATAGCCCCCTTGTAGTTGAAGCTTTATCTGGGGAAGACAATTCCACGGATAATGAAATTTTAGATACAGCAGAAAAAAGAAGTTTTAGCCCATGGGGTGGGAAGAGGGATAAACCGAACATTGCTGAGCATATGTGGACTTGGAAACGTACGGCCAGCATTCGCGAACCGAGCATGCCCAAACGAGTTCGTTTTAGCCCATGGGGTGGAAAACGAAGCGGCCAAATGATCTTCAAACCAGGTACCAAGGGTTCCAAGATAATATTCTCCGCGTCTGTTCCTGAACTAACTCGGATCGTCTCCAATTTTTCACCAGGTAACAAAAGATTAGATGTCGCCGGTTTCCAATTTGTGCCAACGCTAGACAAGCGACATCCAATCAAAATCTTAGCTTTAAGCACAAAAATGGAAGATAGGATTCTTCGAGATGCTCTTCCATTCAATACTTTTATAGATAATTTGCCGAAAATGTACAAGCCTGGACATCCCTACTTGGATGTTAGTCTAAAGAAAGACGGTAAGAGGAAAGTGAAGTTTAGCGCATGGGGCGGTAAGAGGTCTCCACCGATCATTGGACCAATCTGGACCCCCGCATCTGAAGATGCGAAAGATTCCACTCTCGACACAATAGTATTAGTACGAAACAACCAAAACGAACATGAGATCAAGGGTTTGTAACTGATTTAACAAGCGGCACATGGTACCTTTATAACATTTTCTGATACTCAAACAAAAAATCGTGATATGAAGCATTTATAGTTAATAGATTCGTTTTTATGTAAGTGCCATAGATCTCGCATCGATTAAAGAAAGGAAAGGAGTAAAGAAAATTGAATAGAAGCTGTCTTCGGCGAAAAGGCTGGGTTCGTTGAAGACAACATGACAGTACTTGCATTATTCAATATGTACCTACTGTATTTATAAAATATAGTCAAATATTGTTCCAAAATATAATGTCTAAATTATTTATTGGTGAAAGACCAAAATACATACCTATATCTTAATGTGTTATTTATTGTGCTGTTTTTAATTAAATAATGTAATTTTAAAAAAAGTTGATTATTTTACTAACTTTATAATTTGTTGAATATTGCTTACTTATTAATCAACGGAACATCCATGATGCTAGATTTTACTTGTTTGATTGTCCATCTACATAAATATGTATTAATACATACGTATCTATCTACATTACAATTTGTTCATACAGAAGTAAAACTGAGTATGATGAACAAAGGAATTTTAAATTTTATTTTAAATTTAGAATAAATGAATACTAAAAATATTTGACTATACATCAAAAGAAAAGTTAAAATGATGATCAAAATCAATAAATAATTAAATGTCTCCATTTATTTTGATATTTGGACACTGTTAAAAGAACAATGTTAGTTTAACATTAGGTCCAATTCAGTACTAATATTTACAATAGAGTAAGCGTATAATAAAATAGGAAAATAAAAGATCAACTTATAAGTATGTAAGATATATTGAAACAAAATACAAGAATATTTATTACAAACAAGTTATTAATTATTTTAGTTACCTTTTAATGTGTACTGTTACATTTTAGCTGTAGTTAAAATAAAATATTTCTCCATTTCATTTGTCAAATGTTACAAACATAGTAAATATTTAATATTAAAAAATGTACTTCATTAAAAACAAACAAAAAATCTTATAATATAGAAAGAAAAGCAAAAAATCACACAGTTCTTAATATAATATGGAATCCAGAGTCTGTTTCTACTGGTTTGCTTAGCTGTCCAACCTTTAGTTTGAATGCTTCTTCTTCAAACGCTTGTTGCATTTGGCCTCTTCCAAACATTCCCAAGTCACCACCTCGCTTTGCAGAAGAACAGTCTGAATATTTCATAGCCAAATCAGTGAACGCAGCATCATTGGACACAATCTGCTTACGATAATTTTTAAGCAACTCCATAGCTTCCTCTTTTGATCTAGTTATGTTTTCTTCGCGCCAAGATGAAGGACGTCTACTCTCAGCATGCTTGACAAGAATGTGACTGCATCGGACTTCGCCTGGGTCTGCGGGGGCGTCAGGTCTCTCCCACTGAGACTTCTTAGTATACATGTTGAGGAAATATGTCATACCCGTAGAACGGCTGGTCCTCATTTCCCATCCTTCAGGCAACGGTGCGTCGTTATCATTCGACATTCTGCAATAGTTCGTGACTCGTGAAGTTTGATGTTTTTTCACAATAACACACTCAATGAATAAATAACCCATAAAAATGTAAAGTAGTTGTAATTATCATGTAAGTAATGTGTAATAAATGAAAACAATTCCTTTGTTCATCATAAACATTATTTTGATTATAATTTATTAATTATCATGAAATATTGTTTACTATTTTTCAAGACACAAGTAAGACACTCACCTCCGGTAAATCTGTCTTTAACAGCAATAAGCGAATTGATGGCAACCAATTTAAGAACTTTACAGAGATAATGTTTTAAGTTTTAATTTTTTATTACAACTATGTCTTAAATCAATCTATTTAATGAAATATAAATTGCAAAAATAATGACTTCCATGCAATAAACAAATGCTCCGGTCATAGACCAAAAACATTATGCTCCGGTGGCGGCATATAGTGGTACAGATTATAAATGAAAATGATAAGCATAGAGATAACAGTTTAACAGATAATATAGATAATATGTATATTGGAAATTAGACAAAAAAAAAGTTAAAACTATTACTTAATTTTTTAAACTAAATTGACTAACAACTAGGACTTTGTTTAACAATTAAAATATTTTTAGTTAAGTTACATAAATAACTATAATAAAAGGTAAGTCAATAGATGCTTAATAAAAAATGCTATATTTTAAGTTGGCGTTGAGCGCCATCTATTATTAAACTTCCAAAGTATTTCGAAAATTACGTTACTTACGCTTGTTTGAAATACGAATGTGTCAATTTATTGCTAAACAGAAATAACTACGAGATGGCTCCACTGTAATTCAAACTGGCAAACTCCAATTAACAGTCTATATTTATTTAAATGTACATAATTATATTTTATATTCAGTTCACAATTATAATGGGTCCGCATGATACGATGAGCTAGATATCTAATCCAACTGAACCAATTAAAATAAAAGGAGTAATTCTAATGTCCTAATTAAAATAATACACCGATTTCAATTTAATTAAAAATACTTTAATTGTTTTGGAACTATTTAGGGTAAAAAGGGTAGGTAATTTAGGGTAGTTTCCATTTACCTACGTATGCACATTGGTAGTTTACGTTTTCTATTTTCGAAGTCGGTGTGATTTGATTTGTATCGGCTGGCAGTGACTTTGAAAATGTCTGAAAATATCTGATATTAGTAACACTAAAATTCAGGCTCTAAAATCCGATCCTAACGCTAGGGTCCTTGGGTTTGTTAAATAATACAAAACAAGCCAAAACTCTAAGTATCGATACTATTAGCCGTTGAAGAGTTCCACCTATCCACCTTCTGGCCCTACCATCAGATCAGGTCGACGATATCGAATTACTGCATTATCAACGGCAATAGAAACACTTGCAAAGTTTCAAGCTCGTATGATAATTAGAAGTTGTTTAAATTTTCATTAGCTATTTTTCCACCCTTAGGGTGGTATCTTTTTTCAAATTTAAATGGGACTAAATAGGAAGTATACACTATCAAACAAAACAAAAATTGTCCAAATCTGTTAATAAAGGACGTAGTCTGAGGTAACACAAAAAAAAGCCGAATTGAGAACTTCTTTCTTTTTGAAGTCGGTTGAAAATTATGTTTCGTATAATATTCTAAAATCAAATTCATTATAAAATAATAATGAAAATTGGTTCACAATTGGATAAAAAAAGTTTTAATTGAGTACTTCGGACCTTCTCCCATTTCGAAGTCGGTTATTTAAATCGATACCAATAACCTAAAATAACATTTTACAGAGTTAAGCTGTAATGGAAGTAAAATATTACACTGGCGTATTAACTTGTAATGAAAAATTGAATTTTTAATGTGTAACCATTATTTGCGCCAGTGGATCCAATATTTTACTTCAAAAGGGAAAGATTAAGAATTTTAATAGGTTTTAAAGAATTACTCACTTTTTTAAGTCAGGCTGAATGTTTATTGCTTTTGCCCTGTTCTGTGATATTAAAATATTGTTTATGTCCACTTTTTAATTCCACTTTGCTACATTAGGTATATCATCTGTGTCCTCCCCAACGTGCGTTCACCTTGTCGTGGCCAAGAAACGCACAGGGAGGTGGCCCATTCCGTGGGCGGTGGGAGGTGGCCCTCTTCGGAGGGCAGTGTACCATGCGGGTTGCTCCTGGTACCTCTCTGATAGCAGAGTGGACTGTGGAGCAACCCCATGGTTGTTGTGGTCTGCTTCGGCAGACCTGCCGTCGGGGCGTCGTAGTTGAATGCGTAAGCGATCCTGCGACGCCCCATTAAGACGGGGGAAGGTTTTGTTGGGTTTTAGTGGGTAGTACTGGCTATGCCGGTGAGTCCCACACCTCGTGCGTAAATGCATTTCCCAACGTTAAGAAAAAAAAGGTATATCATCTGTGTGTATATTCATTACTCGTCGACGTTTAGCAGCTGGACGGATTTGGATGAAATCTATCACACGGATAAACTGTGACCTGGATGGAGTAACATAGGCTACGGATGCACCTGAACGAAGCGGGGTGTTAGCCGTTTGTTGTCTATATATATTTTTAAGCCGTTTCTTTACGGAGCTGACAGATAGAATAATTTAACAAAAAATGCGACACCTATATTCATTTTCTTTTTTATGCTTTACCACTCCAAAATGATAAATCTCGAAATACTCTTGGCAAGGCAAAGTGCTTATTATACCTATCTACTTAAAGAAAGTCGGAAGAAAATTATAAGGACCCTACTATGAGCATGTATGGAAAAAACATTATACGAAGGCAGTAGACGCGTAAAGGATACATACAAAGCTATTGATTTTGTATGTAACAAACAGATTATTATTATTATTATTAGTAGATAGATATTATTATTAGTAAGATCATCAATTCATAGAACAAATGAGGGTACTTTAAATTATCTTATGATAGATGAGGACGTATTTTAAATATCATACTTAGTCAGGAAATGACACAGGGATATTATGTAGTAGACACTTAAAATAATTACCTACTTTAACTAAATAGTACTAAATATTGTAATCTCTTATAAGAGGTCTCTTTCACTGAAACTCCTTAAATAGAGGTTTCCAAGAAACTTTAAATGTACCCAATTTTGTTGCAAAATAAAAATAAAATCTTAAATCCAAGTATAATAATTACAGTAATTATTAAAAAAAACATTAAGGTCTAATAAAATGCGTATATCTAAGCACACAATCTGGCATCCTGTTAAACATTGTATTACTTGATACAGAAAGTTTTTTTTTATAGACGATATAAACGAAGAAGAGATATTTACCCTCTTCGTCTTTTTTATTAACCGACTTCCAAAAAGGAGCAAGGAAGTTCTCAATTCGTTGGAATCTTTTTTTTATGTATGTTCACCGATTACTCGAACGCCTGAACCGATTTGGATTTTTTTTTGTTTCTAAGGGTATACTTTCCAGATGGTCCCATATAAATTTTATGGAAATTGGGTGAGCGGTTTTTAAAAAAATGAACAATATTTTTTTTTAAATAAATTGTTTCATCGAATATGTTATTAAAAAACTTTCTTTTTACAAATTAACTGCTTATTACGTCTACCCTAAAAATGGAAAAATAAAAACTAAAAAAAAACTACTTCCAGGCACTAAAATGTAAAAAATAACTAAACGGGGGCTAAATGTTTTCATTTAGAATATACCTATTACCTAATCAGATATTTTCGATGTAAATATGATTATAACTCTAATTATAGTTAAAATATTATACATCAATTTGTAACGTATTTTACGTGTCGAAATATATTAGATTTGCTTTGCATAGACTAGCCCCGATTTCGAAAATATCCGATTAAGTATTTATATCTCCGGACGACTACTCGACACGACCTGTGAGAAGCCGACGGCTTTACGTGATCTTCCAGGCACGGGAGTGAAACACCCCCAACTTCCCAACTCCGGGTTGTTACTGAAACAGAAAGATTCAATAACTAGAACTTGGTCCGACCCGCGATTCGAATCCAGAATATACCTATTGTTCCCCATACACGTTTTGATTCCAGTAAATATCAATCGAGAGTCACACAGGTAAATATGGAGAGGAGAAAGTGAATCCCATAGGTATAAATAGTTCAAATTTTAAGTTGCGAGATTTAAGTAAACGAAAACTTTGTTTAAGTTCACTCGTTGAGTCAATCTTATCTTCTAAGATTAGTTTCAAATCTTCATTATAAAGTATTGATACTTGATCACAAATTCTGAGTTATCATTTATTACTCACAATTATTGTCCTAAAGATATCTTTTTATCTAAAATTAGAATATTTTCATCTCTTACATTTTGTGTTTGAGTAGGCGTGCTTTAATTAATTCGTTATTTCTTACGTATGACACGGATAATACAAACAATGATTTAAGTTATTTATTTTTAGAGAAATAAACACGAACACTTACAAAATATATACTCTATATATATATATATATATATATATATATATATATATATATATATATATATATATATATATATATATATCAATTGCTTTTCGGTAGTCTCGCTAACGGCTGAAACGATTTGAATAATTCTTTTTTTGTTTTGTTGGAGGTATATCAGGGATGGTATAAATATTAAAAAAATTAGGAAAAACCCATAAGAACAGCTGGAAAATCAAAAAGTTCAGAACTGTTTTTTTTTTGTATGGGAATCACTACTTCGGATTACTTTCAATAGTGGTGAACCTACCAACTACAACTATACGTCAAGTTTGAGTTAGAAAAAAATAATATATGTATATAACAGTATATAGTCTATCTATTCTATACTAATCGTTAAAACGTACCAAGGGACGAACACGAGCAAAGCGAGGGTGAGTCGCTAGTTTATAATAACTAAGGCAAGTGATAACAAAAAGGTGTACGTACCTATTATGTAATTAAAATGGACAATGTAACAAAGTAAATGCGTTTTATTTAAGGTAAGCTAGCGCTAGGTACATACTCTAATAAATGAAAGAAAATTGGATTATGTTTCTAATAGATATTTAATTATAATAGACCATTTCATTATATCTACATTGTTAAATAGGTTAGGTATTATATTCATGACATGACCTATATAAAAAATTAAACTAAGGAATATTATTTTTTAGTCTATGATGAGAACATTTAGTTTTTTTATGCAATATTTATTTTTTAGTTTTTTCCTCAATTACTGGAGTATGGAGATAATCCTCTTCCCACAGCAAGCCATTTAGCTCAATTTTCATTTCAACACATTTAATGATATATCTATAATTCATATACCTAACATATTTTATATATCTACTACGTACTTAAAGGTAAGATTAATTAATATGAGTCATATTAGAAAATTTTTAACGAAATTTTGAAATATCTTTCTATACGTGTACTTACTTACCTACTTAACTATTAAATGTCAAAATAAAGTTTCAATATATTTTTTTTAATAATCAATTTTAACTATCAAAGACACAAAATTATTGTACTCAACAAGGTCGAATGTTAAAGAAATAATTGATATCATGTATATCCTAAAACCCAAATTATTATAATCAAAATATCCGAAAAAAAGATAAAAATAAATTTTAATATATAGATAATAATATTTGTGGCTGTAAATTGTAGGTACACCTAATACATCAAGAGAAACATAAACATAATACAATATAAAAATAAACAAAACGAAATGTTAATGACATGATATATCATCAAACGCTTACCTAAATCCAAAAGCCATAAGCTTATCAAAAACAAACAGATAAATATAAAGAACTATACATTATTAAAGCATGAAAAACCTATTAAAGTTTTGAAGTGTAGTTACATGTGATTGGTGATTTTTTTTTATGGGAAAGAGTTAAGAATGAACGGTGACCTGTGATTGGTGGAAATGCGACGTAAGTAGCGGCGTTTTGGCGCGCTTTGCATCAGTTGTGAGTTTCACGCGGCTGTCATTGGAACTTTGGTTATGGTTCTGTAACTTTGCTGAATTTTCAGGTGAGTGCTTTATATGTTTTAACGTGGTCGTAAATTTTAAAGTTATCATAAACATATTAACTTATATAGATTTTTTGTAATGCTTGCGAGAAAATTAAAAA